CAAGCTGCCGTTAAGGTACGTATTCTGGTTTATATGAAATGTAGTCATCCTTTCGCATTTGAATGTTGTAAAGATGGGAATATTCTGAATGCTCCTGTTACATGCTGGAATTTAATGTACTAGCTTTAGAAGATTAAATAAAACGGAAATGGTCGCTTGATGGTGGGAGGTGTTAGGTATCCCGTGGAATAAGTCGAGGTGTGAGTAAGCTGGCTCGAACACCATGTTTATCCCAAAGAAAAAAGAAGAGAGAACGGTCCCCTTATTTATTTAAAAAAAAAGAAACAGAAATGGCATTTTATGCTCATAGTAATTGTGATTGGTTGCAGATAAAACTCCATCGCGTGATCTATCATCTTCTAGAGGATATTGGCAATTCTATTGTTGAAAAAGCTCCCGGGACGTTTGAGACACAGGTTGCAGGAGAGGCACAGGTACTGAGCATATTTGAGATTAAAGGAAGGAGCAAAGCTAAGGGAGAGGACGTTAAGATAGCTGGTTGTCGTGTAATGGATGGCCGTCTCACCAAATCATCGACAATGAGGCTTCTTAGAAGTGGTGAGGTTGTTTTCGAAGGATGTTGTGCATCGCTGAAGCGGGAGAAGCAGGATGTCGAAGCAGTTGGAAAGGGGAATGAATGTGGACTTGTGATTCAAAATTGGGTTGACTTTAAGGTTGGAGATGTCATCCAATGCTTGGAGCAAGTCAACAGAAAACCAAAATTTATTTCATCGCAAAGTGGCGCTGTCAGAATAGAATGTTGATAGATTTTTCACTAAGAAATGAGTAACCTTTTTTGCAATGTAGGTCATCTTTCTCTGTTAATTTTGAGTCCAAAACCTTGGCCTCATTGTTCTAATTATTCTTGAGTAGATGTGAAACAATTTTACTGTATAAAACTCTAAAGTGAACCCTTTACACCGAACAACAACAATTATACAGTGTATGTTCATTTTTAACTAGAAAGAAAGGGCAAATCCTTTCTTTGGAGCTGAACATAATAAATGTTGTATGCTACAGCTATATAAAACAATTTTGGTATTACATACTGGACATTATGAACTAATGATTCCTTTCTTATTTGTCTTTGTCAACTGCTATAAACCTTAAAAAGTTTATTCTCTGTGTAAATAATACTATCACATACACTATGCTTTAATGCTTGAAACTTTAAAGTTGAGTTGTGACAATATGCAAAATTTTACGTGCGCTACTAGTCAGCACTAGGAATAAGTTAGTTGTGACAATAGGCTGATATTGCTTGCACAAATTTTTGTGTATGCAACTAGTCAGCACTAGGAATAAGTTGATTTGTGACTAAGGCTGGCAAGTGGGCCGGTCCAGGCCCGGGACCGGCCTGGGACTGCGGGCCAAACGGCTAAACAGGCCAGGACCGTTTGGTCCGGTTTTAGCGGGCCTGGTCCGGTCTCGTGGGCCGGTCCTATGATTTGGACCCGTCAGGCCCGGGATCGTTT